CAGCAAGGAGGGCTTGACAACAGGGTATGTGCATCCAGCCCACACACTCCAATGCCAGGGTGCACTTTTTCCCTCTGTGTTTGTGTAGCACGGCCAATGGCATGGCTCTACACCATTTCTTCAGAGAGCCAGAAATGGGAAAAGAAATCTGTATCTTGCATCATATAATGCCACCATTATTCATAGCTTCTTTTGCATAAACCTACACTGCCTTTGCATCAAGAGTTGACCCAAAAGCCACTTTAACATACTATTGGGATAACAGGATGTGCGACATGACACAAGTGAGGGAGCCTCAGGTAATTAAAAAAATCCTGCCTGTGCCTCATCAGAAAGTTACTCCAACAACAGAACTAAAACAGACGTTACTTCCTGCCATGCCAAATTGGGAAATCAAGAACACTACAGAATGCACAGCAGTGGTCTGCTTTCCAGAACTAAGTTGCTCTAAACCATATATAACATTGCCAGTGACCATGCTAGTAAGATTTAAAAATATATCACTCATTATAAACCATTGTGCTTTACAAGCTCAAAGAACTTTTCTCTTCTGGAAGCACGTCAAAACATGAAGACACGCCTCACCCAAGAGTGAAGCATTCAGTTCAAGGCACATCAGTTTTCCATGTACTATTTTGAAGGCAATACAACTTCAAGGCATTTGCCTCATAAATCCATGCGCAGTGGAGTTTTGCCCTTGAATTAACTTCACTGCTACTAATAAAACCTAAGCAGCAGCAATGTTTCAAGTGTGATTAACTACAGTCCAGTCAATTCTCATGATTTAAAAACATTTAGATTGTAAAGAAGAGTGTGAAAGATTATTAACTGGCTTCTCTAGTGCCTACAAATTGCCAGCATATGAAATTTTAAAAGATGCTGAGTGGGACATGCTACTTTTATAACACTAAAAGTGGCAGTGTGCTCTTCCCTCTTACTGTTCGGCAAGCTCGGATTCATTCTTAGGTTAGAATAAATTAACCTTGACTAGGCAGCGTTAATAGCAAATTTGCCTCCTGTAAGACTGTGTTCTCAATGTCCTTGTTCATTCAAGCTGAAATTTTCTATTCCAGGTGACCAAACTGATTTTGCTGAAAATTTCAAACTGATAGGACTCCAGATCTCAGAACAAGACCAGGAAAACAATGTGAAAACTAAAACAAACAAACAAACAAAAAACAAAAACCCGAAGAAGAATTTAAAAGCCCCAGGTACTCATAAAAGGGATGTTGCTTTTACCAGAGTGATACGCTTTTCTTCTACATCCTATATTTGCCCCTATTCAGTTAAATGATCACACATGATTTTATCTGCAGGACTGCATTCACTCAATGAACATAAGATTGACTTGTTCTGAGCATTAACCGAGGCTGGCTATGGAAATAAGTTCCTATTTTTTAGAACTCCTCCTTCCTTTCTCTCAGGTTACAGGCATGAAGTTAAAGACTGCAGGATGTGAAAAGAAAGAGTTTCATGGTTAAGGCAATTAAATGCAATCTTGCTTAATTGGATTCTAATTGTACCTGAAATTGTGGAATATATAGATACACATATAAAATTACAGGAGCATATATTTTCGTAAGTATTTTAAAGGAAAACTCAGTTTATCGATTTGGTAACCAGAAGCAATGGTTATCTTTGACCACTCCCATGTCTGTGAGTCCCATTTACAAGACAGGAATAATGATAATACCTTCTCACATCCCAGGAGGTTATGAAAACGCTCTGTTCAAATCTTAGGGGATAAGCACCATGTAAAAGCTCAAGAGTAAATGAATAATTCTCAATTTGGACAAGCAGTCACAGGGGTACAGTGAACAAGGCAAAAGACCACAGTGGACAGTGCAAATAAAATAAACCATTGTAGAGCAGACGAGCTAACTTAGCACTGTTACCCTCTGCTCTGAAGCAGGCAGTAGGAAAACCAGAGAGGAGGGAAAGGAGTATGTAATGAGGTAGTTTTGAACTGCATCTGAATGCAAATGTGCACAGGTCAAATCATAGGCTTGCGCATCTGGCATTCGAGGTCTAGCTTTCAAATCTGGGGAGAAGGATTTTTGAAGAAGCAGTCAATTTTTAATAAGCAGTTTTCAGGCCTCAAATAGGCCTCAGTCTCAGACAGCCACCTTTCCCACTACCTCTTTTCTCACTCCTTCCCTTCTATTTGTTTTTCTCTTTCTTCCTTACATGCCTTTTGGAAAAGGAACCTGTTCATTTTCTCAGAACTCTAGTAGGAATTTGGAAGAATATAACTGGACTGAGACAATGTTTTCAATACTGTGTGCAGTCCTGGAGACTCTCATTAAGAAACTCAGCTCAGAAGCAGCTCAGCTTTCAAAAAGAATCAACTGAACGCTGTGCGTACGGATATAGGGTCCAAGGGGGCTCTAAAATGCTCTGCAATTTGAGGGCCTAATGAAGGACTCAGAATAGACTTTGGCAGGACAATATATTCCAATATGTTTTTAAGACATGGCTCCAAAATCTTATTTAAACAATTTACATGGGAGGTTCTTTTTAAGATCTCAGTTGCTGAAAATTTCATTATCAAATCCTGAATTCTGAAAGACTTATTCTCTATCCTCTCAGAAATTTGGAAGACTTTATCTTCAAGCCTAATTAGTTATATATCCCCAAACTAACAGAGAGCAGCTCAGGGACTTGGCATCCATCACTGTACAAAAGCAGCAATCTAAAACAGAATTGCTTACTGAAACCTATGTCAATGTCAAAAAAATCAGGCAAGGGATCTTTTAGTCTAGATAGAGAACAAGAAAAACTAAACAGTGATTCTGATGGCTTAATAAAACAGATGAGGACATCAAGTTAAAGGAATAATCAAGTTTCTCATATCTATTTCACTTTAGAAATGTATAATTTAAAAATACCATGTCTCCATCACAAAGGTGACTATGAACCACACCTCAGAATCACCATACAGTCTCTAAGAGCCACTATCTCAAACAAGGAGAGGAAGTTTCCTTACATACATTTCTTGCGACGTCCACAAAAATGTTGCTTTTGAAACCTTCCATGGTGGTAACCATTCGCTTGAGCATGATACTTGTGGGAAGTGTGAATTCTGTGATGACCAAAAGAAAAGTATTTGGGATTGGACTCTACTGTGTACTGGTGCACCTTCTCTTCTGCAGTTCGTTTATATAATACATGAGGATGGTGTCCAGCAGGTGAAGTGTAGTTGTGCTCCTGTGCTAGCTGCTGTGGTAATGGAGATATAAGGAACTCGATCTTCCGTGTCCTTATCAAACCTGACTGAAAAAAGAAACACCACCACGAATTAGAGAAAAGACTGTCAAGGTTCACAGCTGGAACATGCTAGCTCTTAAAGCAATCTCCCTTCAAAGTCCAGACAGGTTGAAATGCGCTCCTCTAAATTAGATTTATTCAAGATATAATCTAGATAGTCTTCCCAATTAAAGTATGCATTGTTTCATTTTGGAGATGACCAGGTTTCACATTTGGTAACACACAAAACAAGAGTGTTGCGGGACTGGCAGCATAGCACCTTCACACAGTACCATGAATAGTTTCATATGCAATGTTAAGCCATTCTTCGCAGTATAATTTGTTTGTATGTGTGTTTGTGCACAGGATATACAGTCTCACATAAAAAGAAAGTGCTTTTGCAAAATGCAACTTCTAATAAATGCATACATTAGTAAATAAAAGTATTTGAATTAAGATTCAGGTTTATTTCAGAACAAGGTATTACCAGATGGGAATCCCAGGCTTCAGGTTACTCTAAGTAGAAACATAAGCACATTATGGTACAGCAGCACAAAGCTGAAGCATCTGAACGTTTTAGTACTATCACTCTGTAATCAACTCCACGCAATTTAATCATCATGAAGGCAGTTTAAAATTTATGCCCTCCTACAAGAGAAAACTGAGCAGTGAAAGCAAATATCTGACTGTTTTCCTTCTTGGATCCCTGAAAGACAGAAGTAAGTATGGGAAAACTACACTGTATTTTTCACATAGTATCTGTGCATAAAACTGCACATGTGATGAAGTGTTTCCAGGATCAGGGCCAGGGAAATGTGGGTGGCACTGAGGAAGTATTTCCATGCAGCTCATTAATCAGTTATGATTTTATTTCATTTCTTGGTTTTGTAAAACATGTTGTAATAAACACTCCTTTTTACCAAGTCAAAAACCAAGAAGAAGTTTCATCAGGTAATTCTATTACATTATATACGTAATACTAGATACAGATTTTTGTTTTGGATCAGTGAGGCTCTACCACGTGCCAACACCCTCCTGCCAAAATTGACATCCCACGAGGACTACATATCTCTTATGCTTCAGAAAAATATGTGCAGACAAACAAATGTCAATTGCAAGCCATCTCGCCTGACATCTTAAGTCCTCCCAGATCATGATTCCACCCCCTCCCTCAAAAAGTATTCATTGAAAATGCACATATTAGACATGTATCACCTATGCCCTTCCGAAATGGATGCCTAGCCTTTAGCCTAACCTCCTAGGAGCAGAATGCCAAGTGTACCAGAAAGAGAGCCATTTGAATGCCTAATGTAAGCACTGTATTTCTGAACGATTTGTGGAATTTTCTGCACTTTCAGAACTGTTTCCCATGAGGAAAACTCAGCAGAAAATGAAAAGCAAGTGAAAACAGGAAGTTACATATGAAATCTTCACAGCTTTAACAATTTACTAAGCTAATGCTATAATTGACTTTAAGTCTATCCCAGCTGAAAAGATTTATCAGAGATATACAGGTCCTCAACAGTCTATAGTCATACATTACGCCCTTTTCATGGAAATTCACTTCTGTCTTTCCAAATCAAAGGTGTCTTTGCAGTACTCCCCAATGTAAGCATCTTTCACTGGGGCCTGATAATAGCGCTCATAAAATCATACTGTGATCTTAATTATGACAATAGAAAAGATTCCATATTATGAACTGGGAGGCTCTAATTGACTCCTGAAAAATAATATGAAAACAAACACAGATGATATTTGGATTAACAATTTGCCCCTTCTCCCTTCTTCAACATGAATTCATAATTATGTCTCTCGGTTTATATCTACTGAACATTCTAAAGGAAGGTTAAAATTACCTCTGTCAATGAGAGACAGGCTTTAACAATTGACAAGAATTTAACTTGCCTGCTCACTGCAATAAGTTGGCATGTTTCAAATGTCAGATCACATTTGGTCATGACAAAGTACTTTCCTGTAGGGAAGAAGACTAATATTTTAATCCTTATGATGTGTGTCATCACACAATTTAGAAGTGGTTTTGAGAGGCAATCTTTATCTAACTATAGTGCACTGATAACTGGGCACTGCTAAATGATTTTTTTTTTTTTCTGCTGGAAAACAGAAATGTAGTGAATCTGGTTTTTATTTCCCCATTTTAAAGGTTTCCACATTTGAAATTATTCCTGTAGGATTCATTTTGTAAATGATTCAAACCATATGGAACAAAGGGGTTTCTACATTTTCCTGTAAGAAACTGTCCCTGATGTACACCAAGTCTCAGCCCCAAATGTAATTTCTATATTTAACATTATAATAGTGGATTGAGAATTCTGGGCTGGTGGGGAAGCAAACTGAATTCCGGGCCCTGTACTGCGTGTATATTGCTGCATCTCTACAAAGGCTGTAGCTGCCTGAGTGCCTTACAAATGAATTTTTTTCCAGCAGAAATAACCCTAGATCTCCAATAAGACTTCTTTCCTTTGGGTTTTACTTCAGACACATCCTCCAAATTGAAAGATGTTCTGTGAATGAAAGATACGTTCTTTTTAGATAACATCTAGTTTCATGAAGTTGTCAAGAAGAAAGGGAAAATGCCACAGAGTGGTCTGGACACTCATTCAATCACAGTCCATTTTCTATTTCTTCCAGGTAAAGGGATGGTTTCAAGGATTCATATTAAAATAATCTCTTTGATAAATCCAAAGTAATGCTGAGAATGCTGACCTGGCTTCTGACATAGATGTAGTCCTCTGGATCACCGCAAAGGGCGCAACTGGGCAATAACTGCCAGATACTTTTCTTGCAGGTTCTTGAATTTTAGCCTTAAGTAAAGCTAAGTGGCCTATGGCTATGCTCATGTTGGCTGGAAAATATGCCAGCTGAAAAACGCCAGAGCGCAGAGGTGGGATACTAGCACAGAATCATCTTTTCTAACTACACTACCAAGGAATTCCAGTTTTTTGAAGGCCAGATTTTGGCTACTCTGTACTCCTGGGCAGTGGAAGTGTTAAAAAAATTTCTGGGTATTTTTTCTACAAATACATGAAACATCTCTCTAATTGTGAGTTAGATGCAATATGTTTATCCAGCTCAAATACTTCAGCAGATGAACAAATACTGTCAAAACTGTCATGGAAATTTATGCATTAGGTTTCCTATTGCCAGCATAGCTTTTAAGTATACATGTGATTTTCCTTGAATCAGAACTCAGCGATATCTTTCCATTAACTTTGATGTGTTTGGGACCCAAGAAGGGGAGGGTCAGGTAGGTCAAAACTCCATTTTTATTTCAGATTCTCTGCAATTTTAACACCATGAGAGAAAGCAAGATGACAAAATCTAACATTCTTACTAAGTCTAGACAACACAGCATGAAAAAGACCAGGGACTCCTGCCTATTCCCTCTCTCTCCCACTGCGGCTATCACTAATAATAGCAGTAATTGTGAGAATATGGTGGGAAGGAAAACCCATGAGATTGCTCAGTTGGAATTTGCTGTTCTCTTGTTATTCCCTGACAACACATATTTGCTATCCTTCTGTAAGGGATATTCCATGCCATTGGAAAGAGATATATTGATCTGTGTGGTTAGCAAATAATTCTGAATCAGTAAGTTAGAGGAACTTGCAGTTTCTTTGCAGAAAAGTTGAGAAGAAATGAGAAGGCAACATTCCTCCCACTTGTTATTTGTTAGGAAATGTTTGCTTAGCTCTGCGCTAAAGGAATTTTCAGATCCAATACGTCTTTGTGAAATTCCTCAGTATCAGGGTGTTATCACCAAGGTAAGGCACTTGTTTTGTTTTCTTGGTGTGTTTCAAAAGGAGGAAGAATCTCAAAATGACATTTGGACAAGGGAAATGATAAAATATCTGCTTCATTTTTTTTTTTTAAGTGAAGTTAGATTATAAATGGAAAAATAAGGAGAATTTTTTTAAACTACTGAAAGTTCATCTTAGCTACACAAAGCCAGGTAATTCTTCCACAGATTTTAGACCCACATGGAACAGTTTTGAGTCACGTGCTAACATATCTGTTTCTAACAGCTCTCATTGGCCTCTTACTGGACAGCACAAAGGCTGCTCCCACTTGTCTCCCCCTCTGTTCCTAGACTCTGAGCGAAGCCTCTGGCAGCTTACCAGCCTCTAAACCCAATTCATTTTGAGGTTTCAGCATCTCCAAAAAACAGACCCTCCATAAAAAACACAGCAGTGACAGTGAGTGAAGGATTTTCAGAACTTATATTTCTTGCCTATAATTTAACAAAGCTAAGTTATGAGACAGGAGACAAACCCTTGCTCTAAACTAAAAGAGCCTCATGGCTCTGGGTTCTCTGTTTGCATACAAGGCATTTTCATGACATGCTAATTAAATTAAAGGCAACAGCTTGGCCATATGTGTATTGAAGTTACAGGAGTTTCATAAACCAGATGCAAATAATGAGGTAAGAAGTATAATGAAATGAAACTGAGAATTAAAACATATGAATAAATGAACTGCAATGTCTCTGCTAAACATAACTACTTAATACTGACTGATGCAAAGTTAAACTGCAGTTTGTACGAAGACAGGAGTATAAAGTGCTAAAAAGTTTGCATGCATTGTCTTTGGAATACTACTTATATCCAGAATGCTTTATTCAGTGTTATGAGCATATACATAAAATCAGGTGTTATAAACCCACTGTGTCTAAACTGAAAGCAGCTAAAACAATCACCAAAGAAATCAATGAAGTCTATACCATTTAGATTGGTGTGCATGTACTCAAGATGAAAAATGTCTCAAAAGGAAGAGTTAAACGTAGTTTCACACCCATTAAAATAGTTCCAATATTCATGCAGAGTTTTAAAAGACTTGACCAAAGGCCAGCTGAAATTGGCATAAAGCTTTCCACAGACTTCAGTGGACATTGATCCAACACTTCTGTTGTGTTATTTCCCAACTGTCCAGCTCCTAAAACACACAAATCATTCTTCAAACACATCTTAACAGGAGTTACAGCACGTAAAGTACAGAGACATAAAGTACAG